TTTATTTATTATTCACAGAAACACCAATGTAGCAATCGTTCACTTCAGAAAGAACAAGCAGCGATTTAGACATTGCATTTGTAATCGAAACAAATCGGCGTCTCTCATAATTATATGGTGGTTTCGGGATGTTAAACACCACATATCAATTAATCAAAACAAATCAGATGTTCACCACAAGCTCCATCTCATATTTGGGCCTTGTTACGCTTGTCTGCGCGAAGCTTCTTTCAATGATTCACTCCACCTAGACAGCAGCGCCAATGGTTCATTTTCCTTCGCAGTAGGAGCTAGGTGATCACATGTCTCCTCAGTGACCCTTTTCGAAACTTGTCACTGCTCCCATGGCGTCATCTACTGATACTTTTCAACAGTACGACTGACCGTACTACATCATCAAACACGTCTTCTCTGGTCGAGCGAAACACTCTATCCCTTGAGCAACAGACTTCGCTGCAGAAGACAGCAACGGTTGACGTAGAATTCGTTGTCAAAGTTGCCTTAGGAAAAGCAAGCAGTGTCCACGTACAGCTTAATCAGCGAGCAAAGAGGCGAGCCCGAAGACGACAAGGTAAAGTTCCGTGCGATTGTCGAAACAACAGTGCTGTGTGGCCGTCAAGACCTTGCACCGAGAGGTGATAAGGATTCGGGGCGTATTTTTCTCGAGGAAACCTTACAGAATGACGGCAGCTTCATGACGCTCTTACGTTATGAAGCGAATGGAGGAGACACCATTTTGGCCAATCACATGCGCGCCCAGCAGGCAGCAATGTTCTCTACTTCAGCCCGCACATTCAAAATAATAAATTTTTCAATAATTGGCAAGTTTATACCAGATAAAATTGTCAAACACGTAAATGAGGCTGGATTTTTTTACACAATGAATGTGTCCCAAACAAAGCAATTCTCTATGTGCGTACGCTATGTCGATCCCTCTACTTTGAGCATTCAAGCATTTGGGAAGATTTCCTCTGCTTCGTAGCTGTTGACGACGTCTGTGTGTCTAGCCTAGTTGACGCACTGAAAAGGGAGCAGCTGAAAATATTCCTGCACTTGAACATGATGAGAGGCCAAAGATATGATGGAGTAGCGGTGATGACTGGGGCATTTAATGGTTTGCAGGTGCTCATCTGGAACAACCTCCCAATGACTTTGTACACGCATTACTCGTCGCACTCCCTGAACCTTTGTTTCAATGATGCCTCAGCTGTTCAAGACATCGGACGGGCCTTTACTACAATTAGTAAAGTTAGCACTTTCTTTCAGGTGTCATCCAAAAGGAAAGCACTCCTGAAAAAAACATTTAGAACCGTCTACAAAGCCATTCGGCTAGCTGCGCGGATATTGTAAAACAAGGTGGGTACGTGGAGCGTCGCGATTCGGTTGCTTTGTTTGAAAAAGAACTTTCAGAGATGGTTCACTCACTTCAAGAGTTCGTGGACACCTTCCATGACAAAGCGACAGAGTCAACCGCTCATTGTCTCCATTAGCGAATCTGTTCGCCCAACTTTCTCATATGCCTCGCTGTTAGTGAGACATTCCTAGGCCTCATACACCACTTCTCTGTAAACCTGCAGAGCCAATATATTGACGTGAGCGTCGCCTTGGAGCAGGCTGACTTGGTTCTGACTAAGCTGGAAGAGACTAAAGCGGAGGCAGAATTCCACAAAATATGTTCTCTATGTCAAGATAGAGTGGTAGAGTTCAGAGTGAAGTGCGAGATTCTACGGCTGGTAGGAACACAGAAATATCGGGCCAACTACGATTGTAGTTCTGCTGAAGAGTACTACGTGTCACCCTTGTTCTTTCTATACATAGATGACCTGAAAGCTTCCCTCAAACGGCGCGCTTCGAAAACCATCACAAAACATAGTACGGTTTGCAATTTGTGTTGCAAAGCACACCTCCAAAGATAAATTTGAGTCTGTGCAGCCGGCCTTCGATTTTTACCCGAGAGATATGACAACAGCTCATATCCTTACACTAAAAGGTGAATGGGAAATCTGAAAAACTGAATGGCAAGCCATGCAAGAGGACAAATTTCTTCGCTTTGCGACAGACGCTTTAGCTGAATGCGCTTAAGCCCTCTTCTTTAAGCCCTCTTCCTTAAGATGTATTCGCACACTCCTCAAGATATTGGCAACGCTCCCAGTGAGCAGAGCTCCTGCGAAACACAACTTCTCGACACTGAAAAAAAGTGAAAACGTTTTTGAGGAACTGGACGGCTGAGAAACGGCTTAATGGTCTGGCCCTAATGTCCATTCACCGGATACAAGTCAGTGCCGACGATGTTATCACTGTGTTTACGTAGAAACCGCAATGAATAAAAATTATAGCATGAACCACTTTCTTCGGCCAGGCTACATGTTCATTTTTTTCTTTTGCATTGACCTTGTTTGCTATATGGTAAAACTATCCGCAATGCCCTTCTTTAGTATTATTTGCAAAAATTAATGCTAACTTCCTGCCTTTTATGTGTTAGCGGGGCATATGTGTATTAGTTTTTTGCTGTCTAATAATAATATCAATCATCATCATCAGCCTGACTACGTCCACTGCAGGACAAAGGCCTCTCCCATGTTCTGCCAGTCAACTCTGTCCTGTGCTTGCTGCTGCCAATTTATACCCGCAAACTTCTTAATCTTATCTGCTCACCTAACCTTCTGTCTCTGCCTAACCCTCTTGCCTTCTCTGGGAATCCAGTTAGTTACCCTTAATGAGCAGCAGTTATCCTGTCTACGCGCTACATGCCAATTCATGTCCATTTCCTCTTCTTGATTTCAACTATGATATCCTCAACCCCGTTTGTTCCCTAATCCGCTCTGCTCTCTTCTTGTCTCTTAAGGTTACACCTACCATTTTTCTTTCCATTGCTCGCTGCGTCGTCCTCAATTTTAGCTGAACCCTCTTTGTAAGTCTCCAGGTTTCTGCTCCGTAGCCAAGTACCGGCAAGATGCAGTTTTTATATACCTTCCTCTTGAGGAATAATGGATATCTACCTGTCATGAATTGAGAGCGCTTGCAAAATGTGCTCCACCTCATTCTTATTCTTCTAGTTACTTCAATATCGTGGTTTGGCTCCGTGGTTCGGCTCCGCGGGTTCAAGTTGTAAAAGACATAGTCTTTTACAACTTGAAGCGCACTATTACCTATCTCGATGCGCTGCTCTCTTCCGAGGTTGTTGTACATTACTTTTGTTTTCTGCAGATTAATTTTAACACCCACCTTTCTGCTCTCCTTGTCTAACTCCGTAATCATGAGTTGCAATTCGTCCCCCGAGTTACTCAGCAATGCAATGTCGTCAGCGAAGCGCAGATTACTAAGGTACTCTCCATTAACTCTTATCTATATCTGTTCCCATTCTAGGTCTCTGAAAACCTCCAGTAAGCACGCAGTAAATAGAATTGGGGAGATTGTATCCCCCTGCCTTACACCCTTCTTGATTGGTATTCTGATGCTTTCCTTATGAAGCAATTTGGTAGCAGTTGACCCCCTGTAGATTTGCCTTACACCCTTCTTGATTGGTATTCTGTTACTTTCCTTATGAAGCAATTTGGTAGCAGTTGACCCCCTGTAGATTTCTTCCAGGATGTTTGTATACACTTCATCGATGCCCTGATTCTGCAGTGTCTGCATGACTGCTGATATTTCTACTGAATCAAACGCCTTCTCGTAATTTATGAAGGCTATGTATAGTGGTTGGCTATATTCTGAGCATTTCTCTATTACCCGATTGATAGTATGAATGTGGTCGATTGTTGAGTAGCCTGTTCGAAATCCTGCTTGTTCCTTTAGTTGATTCAATTCTGAAGTTTTCTTAACTCTGTTAGCAATTACCTTTGTAAATAGCTTGTATACTATGGAGAGCAAGCTGATCAGCCTGTAATTCTGTAATTCTGTAAGTCCTTGTCATCTTCTTTCTTATGTATCAAGATGATGATAGCATTCTTCCAATAGTCTGGTACTCTTCTCGTCAGGAGGCAGCTCGTAAACAGGGTGGCTAGTTTTTCTAACACAACCTGTCCTCCATCTTTCAGCAGATCTGATGTTACCTGGTCCTCACCAGCAGCTTTACTTCTTTGCATGCTCTCCAAGCCTTTTCTGACTTCGTCTATCATTACTGGTGGGGTGTCATCTGGGTTACTACTAGTTCTTATAGTATTAAGGTCGGGTTTGTCGTGGCTAATAAAACTCTCCCCAAATGTGTGTGTTCAATAATGGCTGTTATAAAATACTTTCCGTTCTTGCAGGCCTGTTCTCAAGACAATGTGTGAGAAATTCAGCAGAGAAAGCGTTCCATATTTTTGTTTTGCCACACATGTGTAAGTGGACAACCGATTTCTTTGCATTCCCCCCCCCCCTTTTTTTTTCTCGTTTGGTCACTCGTTTTCCCATTACTGGCTTTGTATGGCCTTTAGTCAAAATTATTTGGTAGGAAAGCATTCTTTCTTGGTCAAAATTATTTAGTAGGAATGCAGGTGCACACACACAATTTTCAGAAGAAATTGACACTGCAATGAAAGTAAAGCACCTTCCATATTATCGGGCAACTTTCTTTCTATTTACCACGAAAATACTTTTTTTCAAACAATTAGGTCTTGCCCTCCTCCCCCTCCCTTTAAAATAAAATCCTGGCTACGTGCCTGGAAGGACCATTTTATCGCATTTTCCGACCGAATTTAGCGTTCGTAATTTGAGAGTAGGTGTTCAGAGGTACAATCGCCCCACAAATAAATTCTGCAAAACATCCATTTTTCGGCCAATTTGGTCATTCTTAGACCCCCGTTCCCCCCTTAAAACAGTCTGTAAAAGACACTTTAAGACTTGCTCAACCGGCCCAATGTGTTCGTACAAAATCATCAGAAAAGTTTCAGGGTCCCTTTAAAAAAGCAGGTTCAGAAAGAGCACGCTATGGATTAAGCCGAACCAAGGCTTCGTAAACTGTGTGTAGCCAAAGTAGTACGCAATGCCATAGATGGCTCGGAAAATATGAAATCAAGCACGTGTCAAATGCCATATATATATATTTTTTTTCACTATGGCCATGCGCTGTGAAAGCTGCAATGCATAATACTTGGTTAAGAAGCAGTGTAACGTATTCTGTGGACTCTTTTTTTTTTCAAGGTAGGCCCACTGAACATGACAGCAAATGCATTATAATCAAACAGCCACAGATGTCAAATCTTAAAATAAGTCAAATGAGAAGATGCACATTAAAAATCATAATGCAATACATTCAGCCTTATTTCTCACACAAAACCTTCAAGAACTAATTGAAAAAATATGTGCACATACACAATCAATATTAAAGCGCATGAGATGGAGCTACCAGCTGGGATGAATTGCACTTAAGGAGTTTGTGTAACAAACCCACACGCAATAAGCAACATAAAATTATGAATGCCTATTCTCGTTATAATCATTGTGAAGCAGACTTGAATGAATACATTTAGCCCAGCTAACTTAGCAAATCTGTCAGTCAGCTGCTTTGCATTTATGATCAGTCCCCTACAGAACAGATACATCACTACAAAAACACACTGAAGCGCAAATACAATATTCAACTTTGTTCAGAGATAATAACAGTGAGTGAATTATGTTCACGACTCAATTATGACTATCTGAATCCAAAACCAATGCTACTGCAGTAGTGGCACCGGTCTGGTTTTCTACTAAGCTCTTGCGATATGTGAAAAAAAGAATAGGGACAGCTTTTTCTCATTGATCACAACTAATTTTCCTATTAGCAATCGGTAATGATGGAGTGTGAAAAAAAAAACGAACAAAAAAAGTAGCTTTAAGCCATGACATGTTGGCATAAGTCTGGAAGAGTACAGTTTCGTTTGATGTAGCTGTAAACCAGTGTTATATATCTATATTGCAATGCTAAAAAATAACAATGATGTCACCCACTAAAGACAATATCGAGCCATGTGCTACAATTGCAATGTAAAACTGTCGGTGAATGACTTTCCATTGATAACCTCAAAAAAAACAATAGGCTCATACATAACAGCATATACTAAAATTTATGTTGAAACGAGGTGAATGTGGCAAATGAATATACAATCCACTTAACATTTTTTTTTAAATTTAAACAAAGGTACTCCCAAGTGTGAGAAAAGTAGAATGCAAAGAAGCAATTTTTCTTCAATCAATAGCCACAAAATTTTGGTGGAATTCTTTGCCTTTGGATATCAAAAATGAATCCCCTGTAATGTTCAAAAAGGCCTTGTATTTAGACTTATTAAATTCCTAATGCTTTATATTATACAGAGTAACTTATTATACTTTAGCAAGGTTTTTTTGTGCTTATCTGTACATATTGTAAAAGTTATGATTGTTATTCATGTTTACCTGTATATTTTGTATTACTAATATTTTCTATATTTACCAATGTCTACTATAGCATTATATATCTGATGTATGATTTTATAGGAGGTCCCACTAACAGTCTCATGAATTTAAAATCTCTTAGCCAACCTGTTTTTATCATATGCATTGTATCACATGTATTGTATTTCAATTTCAATAAAATTTCAACTTCAACTCTTGAAAACAAAAAAAACTTTGCAATTGCAACAATCGGAAATATGCTAAGCAGCAGGCCAGTATACCTTTGTTTCCAGACTGCAAGTAACACAAGCAGTTTGTCACACACATAAGACCCAAAAATATTCTTCATACACTGTAGCTATTTGTGATGAGATCGAAATAGTGATGCTTCAAAAAGACAACTACAACAGCTGCATGTTGTACCACGGAATGCTGTAAACCTTGCGAGCCCTGTCATTACTACATTGTTCACCCAAGTTGATGTTTATTACCATGACTACACATTCACACTTCATAACAAACCATTCACTTCACACCCACACCTTGCAGAGAACAGCAAATAAAGATACAAAACATCAGGTCCCAGTAAAGAAGAAACAAAAAAAGCAACTGTGAAACTGACAAAAGCACACGGTAGTAAGGCATATGTTGATGACTCTCCAGCACAAGCTCTTCAACACGCAGGCTGCTCCAGCATCCTGTGTTACTTGGGGTGTTCATGTGCAGACTTTTCTTTTGTTTCTTGCTTTTCTGGTTCACTGCTGTAAATCCACTTGGAAACAGAACCATCCCACTGAAACGAAACACTGAAATTAGCCTAACCACAACTTACAAGACTTGTAATAGCAAAACACACAACACTGCTAAGTGTTCATATACGATGTTATTAATTTTCCCTTCAGTTTCTCCTCGTGAAATCTTAGTACCCGGGATAGTATTGTAGTGTCACACTACAGCACGATTTTGGGGAATGACAGCAGGTACTTGAGGTATTTCCGTGAAGATGCTGGTGCCTTTTTCCAAATACAGTCTAACCCCTTTATAAGAGGCATGCTCTGGGCAGCAATTCTTGTCTTTTATATGAGATGTCTCTTATAAACAGAGGACATCATATGCATTTTCCTGCCCGCCGTATTTTACTGTTGGCACACTGGTGTCTAATATACCCATTTGTCTTTTATATCAGTGTCTCTTATAAAAGAGTTCGACTGTATTAGCCTTTTACATTCTAATTAGAAGGATAAAAAAGGCTTCAGGTCCACAGACAACTGCACAACATGTCACTATCGAATTTTTTTGATAAGACATCTCGGTCTGACATAAGAAGTCGTGAACCAGCGCACACACAAGATTACAACTTTTCGTTGCAAGTAAAAGAAACATACTTGAGTGAACATAAAAAATATAAACTAATTCCAGTATAACAAAATCTAAGGCAATGAAGCACACGGTTTGCCTGGAAAATATCCGTATTCTGCTTATAGTACACAGTAAGTTGCAAGGTCACGTCTATAAAGTTTCTTCAGATCAGTTCGTTAAAGGATACCGACATGATTTTTAGGCATCCCAAAAGAGACATCTTTTATTTCCTTGCTGTGCATTATCAACACTCTCCACTTACTAGAGCCAGACAACACGTATAAGATATTTTACTCTTAATTTTAAAGTTTTTGTAGCCCAGCATCAGCAAGTCAGCCCCACCACAGTGGCAATCATCAAGACAAACACAGTTCACTGGGTTCGCAGAATTAACGCCAAACATGCAGCCTAAATCACTGTCAAGTGTTTCTGAATGACAAATCATGATGATGATATATGGTGTTTTTTGGCGCAAGGGCCATTTGATGGCCAAAGAGCGCCAGTTCATGGGACAAAGAATGTGGACAATGATTGTGATTAGCGGCTGTATAAGGGCCATAAAATTCCTCGCAATAAGGCAGGTAAAAACATACAAGTAATAAAATCATGACTCGTTCATACCCTTGCGTCCAAGGGCCATGAGGCAAGTGCTTTCCTGTGTAGCCACCGCAGCAAAAACCTCTCTAGAGAGGTCGTGCTACGGTATGCCCGGGTATATGATATGAAAATTATGAATTTCCTTTAACAACGCTAATAATGATTTGTGACTAAAAAGCGGTTCCCTACCGACGAACATTGCAGGGTGTAAAGGTATATGTTGTCGGTAGGATAGTGGAAAGGGTTGTCTTCTTAGAGTGTCTAAATATTTACATTGAACTAAAACGTGAAGAACTGTTAATGCCTCACCACATTTATCACACAGTGGTGGATCAGCACCGGACAAAAGATGTGTGTGTGTCGTGTATGTGTGTCCTATCCTGAGTCTTGTTAGTGTTACCTCTGTTAGACGTGATTTTGATACTGGTGGCCAATGGCCAAGGTGTGGCTTGATAGCGTGTAGTTTGTTTTGTGTGTGTGTATCCCACTTGCTCTGCCAGTAGTCCCCGAGTTTTCGTTTGAGAGACGGCTTAAGATCAAGGGCCGGGATTGATGTGGGTGTAATGGCGGTGCTTTCGTGGGCGGATGCAGCAAGCTGATCCGCCATCATGTTGCCTTGAATCTCACGGTGCCCTGGCACCCAGCACACAACAACATGTCGGTTGAGTGTGTAGAGTGTGCATAAAATGGAGTAAAGTGAAACGAGGACAGGGTTTTTTTGTTTTTTAAGACTGTGCAGAGCCGTTACCACACTGAGGGAGTCTGTATAAATTACTGCTTTTTGTATTTGTGATTGTTTGATGTGTTTAGCTGCCACAAGTATCGCGTAAGCTTCCGCTGTGAAGATACTTGTGCCTGGATGTAGAGGGCCAGCATCCGAAAAGGAAGGGCCAACAGGAGCGTAGGACACAGAGGAGTTAGACTTAGAGGCATCTGTAAAAAACTCAGGACGTGTGTATTTGTGTATAAGTTCCAAGAAGTATGTTCGAATATGGGCAATGGGCGCATGTTTAGTAACTTCTAGGAAAGACACATCGCAATCTATAGTCTGCCACTGCCACGGTGGCGGGTATGCTACAGGAGCCATTAAACTGTGTTCGAGTGACACTCCAGTGTCCTCAGCTAGACCCTTCAGGCGAACTGAGAAGGGCTGCCTCATTGAAGGCCTGTTTTGAAAAAAAATGGAGCTCGACAAGTCATTAATAGTAGAGTATGAGGGGTGCCTCTTGTCTGCTTTCACCTTAAGGAAGTATACAAAGGACATGTAGGTTCTTTGCAGATGAAGCGACCACTCATTTGACTCAACATAAGGGCTTTCTACGGGGCTGGTGCGAAAAGCACCCGTAGAAAGGCGGATGCCCGAATGGTGCACGGGATCCAGCATCTTCAAAGCACTTTGAGTCGCAGACTGATAAACAATGGCCCCATAATCTAAGCGGGTGCGAATAAGGCTTCTATACAGGTTAATGAGGCATTTCCTGTCACTACCCCACGTAGTACGGGACAACAATTTTATAACATTCATGGCTTTTAAACATTTTGTTTTTAAATACTTTATGTGGGGTACGAAGGTCAACTTGTTGTCCAAGATTAAGCCTAAGAATTTATGCTCGGCTTTGACGGACAGTTGGTGCCCGTTCAGTTGAATGTCGGGTTCCGAGTGCATGCCTCTCTTTCGAGAGAACAAGACACACGTGCTTTTTTGTGGGTTAAGTCGAAATCCGTTTTCATCTGCCCATCTGGAGACCTTATTTAAACCCAGCTGAACCTGCCGCTCACACATGGCCAAGTTGCATGACTTGAAGCCAAGCTGGACGTCGTCGACATATGTACAATAGAACATATTGCGGGGAATGGACAAGTGCAAAGAATTCATTTTAATAATAAAAAGTGTGCAACTAAGCACACCACCTTGTGGCAATAGAACATATTGCCACGTTGCATTTCCCAAGTTTTTGTTATCGTTTCAAAACACCACATGATTCTCAGCGCAAACCGCGCCTGCAGTTTTCTAGAAGGTTCCGGACTGTAGTAGATCATTTCGATAAGATCACGCCCACTGTGCGAACGGTACAGATTGTTCTGGAAGCTACGCCACCGCCAGCGATAACGCTAGAACATTCGACGGCAAGAGTATAAAATGCCGACGCGCTTCGCCGCTTGTCAGTTGTTGATCGAAGGCCGACGCTCCGTTCGCCGCTATCAGTCCGAGACTGCTATCTGTGCGAGACTGCTGCTGTAATTGGACTTTCCGTTTACCGGGCACAGGTTCGCCCAAATAAACAGTTAAACCCCAACCAAAGTCTCCTGTCTTCGGCCACGTCACGACCCCGTGACATCTGGTGGAGGTGCTGCTTCGTTCATGTACCGGACGCCCCCGTCAAGCCGTGAACCCAGCCCACGTCGCGGAGAAGACACCGACGCCAACCAGGAGCAGCGAACAAGCCGCCGACAGCAAGGGCTACCACCGGAGTACGGGCTTCTAGAAGACAAAGGGCGGAAGACCAAGGCCATGATTGCGACTGCAGCGACAATGACAACCGCCGCATCCCAGCCCACGATGGTCATGCATCAACCCAGGGAACCACCAATTTTCCATGGGTCATCGTTCGAAGACCCGGAGACCTGGCTGGAAACATACGACCGTGTGGCCGCCCTCAACCACTGGGACAACGAAGAAAAGCTCCGTCGTGTGTACTTCTACCTGGAAGACACCGCAAGGACCTGGCTAGAGAATCATGAGTCCACGCTCCGAACGTGGGATGTCTTCTGCGGCGCGTTTCTGCAAACGTTCGCGAGCGTCGCTCGCAAAGAAAGGGCCGCTGCTCAACTAGAGACCCGGTTCAGCTTCCAAATGAGAAGGTTGGAATTTTCACAGAGGAGATGACCCGCCTATTTCGTCACGCTGACCCAGACATGCCTGAGGAGAAGAAAGTTCGTTTCCTCATGCGAGGGGTCAAACAGGAGCTCTTCGCGGGACTAATGAGAAATCCACCAAACACCGTCCAAGAATTTGTATCCGAGGCAACCACCATCGAAAAAACCCTTGACATGCGCACCAGACAGTATAATCGTCGCCTGACTCCGGAATGCGCTGCTGCTCAAACCAGTGACTCCGAAAACCTGCGTGAAACGATCCGAGCGATCGTGCGGGAAGAGCTGCGCAAACTGTTGCCTTCGGCGCAACCTCAAGTGGATTCGATCGCCGACATTGTGCGAGAAGAAGTTTGGCAATCACTTCGAATTCCCCATACACCGCTGCCCGAGCCAGAAAACATGAGCTACGCCGCTGCAGTGCGCCACAACGCTCCTCCCCGTCCACGCCAAAACGCCGCCCCGTCGCACTTCCGTCGCCAGACACCACCGCCGCCACCACCCCCACCGACGACCTACCGTTCACCAGCGGGCCAGCGCAGTGCGCCGAGAAAAACCGACGTTTGGCGCACCCCTGACCACCGCCCACTGTGCTACCACTGCGGCGAGGCCGGGCACACTTACCGCCGTTGCCAGTACCGACAGATGGGACTGCGTGGCTTCGCCGTCGATGCACCACGTCCGCAGCCAGGAGAACGGCCACGTGACATCGCCGACTACCTGACAGGAACTCGGTGGACACCACGAAGCCCTTCGCGTTCGCCGTCGCCCAGCCGCCGCACATCACCGCACCACCGACAGTACTCTGGCCCAACGCGGGGCCGGTCTCCTAGCCCGTATCCGGGAAACTAAGGGCAGCAACCGGTGGAGGTGCGGTTGCTGTGCGACGAACTACCGAAGATCCTCCAACGACGACGACGCCGCGATGGAGCTTTCCCAACACAACGCCAACCAGGCAAAGCC